GGAACTGGTCAAGTCATCGGTTCCGTTTTAGCCTTAAACTGTTATTTTACAAAAAACCATTGAAATGGTCAGGGAACTACTGATCCAAATGGTTTAATTGTTAAAATGTTCAACCTAGTTAATGGTTCTCGAGTTTCTTTCGAACTAATTCCAAATTTTTTATTTATTTTAAAATAGAAATTAGAAAATAAAAAAAAATTGAAAAAAGAAACTTCTATATCTCATAGTCTTGTTCGATTATTCCCAATGACCAAAACTAGTTAGGGTTTTCAGTTTTTTCATTTTGATTTTGAGTTGTCTCACTTATGTGATTCTTTTTCAATTAGGGGGGAACCAAAACTCTCCCCCCTACAAGAGGCAGGCTAAATGACCACCTAAAAAAATGGTTTCATGAGTTCGGACAATATATAGGGCACACAGGCCCCAAGATCTTAATAAGCCCCTGGAACAACTGAGAAAAACCACCAAAGATCACCATAGATTCCTCGGCCGAGCTGAGAAGCAAGCTACTATTCCCCTTCAAACCCCTCTTCATTGTCTTCCTTTTCCTCGGATGGGGTCAGTGGCTCCTTGTCCACCTAGGTGACGAGCTCGAGCGGCACCTTCTGAAAAGTAACAGAGATGACGTTGAGGTCGGGAAAAAGAGACTTAAAATAGTGGTGACTCAGCTTGAAACCCCTTTTCATCGAAGGGATACCATCCAATGCTCGCTAGTTCTCGCCCTTGGGAACACTTCGACCTCGCTTCTGACAGCTCGCACTGCAAACGTTAAGCAGCAACCAACATCGCCCTAGCCTGCTCAGCCCTTGAGAACACTTCAACCTCACTTCTGATGCTCCCCCTCCGAGTCCAGCCTAAGCTTTTGCGCCTCGACATTAAGCAAACCAATGTTGGTCTGCAGGCTAGCTCGCTCCTTCTGGCTAGAGTAAGCACGATCCAACAAGGCCTGGCCTTAAGAGTTCACCTACAAAAAGAAAGAACAGAAGTAAGGCACCAAAAAAAAAGAAGAGGAAGAGAGGAGGGGGAGAAGGCACTGGGTCAGCCAAGCCCCAGTCTCCGCAAGATCCATCTCGGCGATCCACTGCATGTCCACCAGAAGAAGAATGTCCCTATCGATTTGAAGCGCCACTCGAGCATCACTTGACCAATCAATCACCTTCACATCAAGAACACAGGGAACAAAAAGAAGGACATTGGAGAGATAAGAGTCCGCTTCTCGTGCAGATGAAGGCTAGAAGAATCCTGTTCTGTAAGCATCAGATCCCCCTCCCCTTCCAGGTCGACAATGGGAGGAATCCTAGAAGAAGAAGCTCCACCCCTCGACAGCCTGCGCTCAGCTCGGCACTTCTTGTAGGCGGACCTCCGCTTAGCATCAACAGACATCATGGAAGCTAAGCTCTCCATACCTGGAAAAAGCAAAAAAGTATTAGTTACGAATCAAACGGAAGAAATAAATAGACAAGCGACCTGAACTGAATGTATAATAAGTGGCCAAACATCCGACCCACCTATCCGGCTTAGGCCTACCTGCACGAGTATCGGCTCGACCAGAAAATCCTCAATTCTAACACGTTCTCGAATGAGTTATTGAGACAGCCCTCAACTTGTCATCTTTGCACTCAAGAACCTTTTGAGGACTACTGAACCAAGTAGTACTACAACCCCAACCACCTGCCTTCTCAAGGAAAAAGAATCACTGCCTCCAATTCCTAACCTTGATTAAAAAGTTAAAAATCTTCTTCCCACTACGAAAGGGAAGATAGAAATAGAAGGGACCCGAAACCTGCTTCATGTGCACCAAAGCCGAGAAGGCTTCAATGCTTAGAGGAAAGATGTGATAATGGAACAAGTTGATCAACCCAATTAGTGTCCTAACCTTGTTAGGGGTGAGTTGGCCCAAAGACACCCGGTAGCGCATCAGGATTGCAACAATGAAAGGATGAAGGGGAAAACGAAGACCAGCCGCTAAGGACTCCTCGTAGACACATAGCCCTTTGGGGCCATGCTCCCAAGGATAGCTACCAGGACCAGGCGCGATCCATTGGTACTCGTCTGGGATTTCATACCTATGACACAGTTCTACTATCTCATCTCTTGACACCTTGGTCCCCCCAAATGAACCCGTTGCAGCCTCAACCTCCTCCCTTTTGCATACCAACGCCCTGTCATAGAAAACCTTGAAAGACTCTTCATCTGAGGAGCTAGACTCCTCCCCTGACCCACTACAACAAACTCTATTCTCAGCGGAACTGTGAGACATGTCAATAATGAAGTACTCACCAGGAAAATGCTAGGAGGGACTTGGAACAACAGCCACCAAACTTAGCAAAGGAAGAAAAAACAGCTTGCCCACGGAAAACAGAGCTCGCCTCAGCAGGAAACTCCAAACTCTCTCCACACACTGATCCTTAGAAAAATCCAAAGAACAGTGACAAGGTGGGGACCTCAAGAGCCCCCATATTTAAAGCCCGTGGGAAAAGATTCAATGGCCTAGATTTGGAAGCAATGTGACAGGAGCACGTCTCCCATGATTGAGCGGCACCTGCGCCTGACGGGCTGCTGATAGCTGCAAGCAGATGCTCGCACCAAACCTGTCAGCATGCCAATCGCGGAAGTTTGAAAAAATGGCACGCATTTTCGAAATTTAAAAAAGCCCGCCATCTTGTGGTAGCATACCTCATCAATCGTGCCAAACCGGACGAGCTGAATTGAACTGACTGAAAAGGCAAACCGAACCTGAGAACAAAAGAAAGGTGAACCAAAAATGCCCCGAGAACTTCTACTCTCTCTGCCTTCTAGGTAGTGACTCGATAGTGGGGGGGGGGGGGCAATTGATAAGGGGCATTTTGGTCAACCCACTTGATGGAGGACACGTGGATGCTGTCAGCAACATAGCGTCCAACTCAGCAAGACAGCTCACCAGTTAAATACATGGCAGTTTACAATAGGTGTGTGGCCGAGCTGAAGCGAGTTCGGCTCACCGACAATGACAACTCGCCCAAAACTATCTCGTGCGCCATATTCGGTTTAGTACTGTTACCGAAACTATAGGGACAGCTCGTCGAACCGCGTGCCCCGGGACCAGTAGGCGACCTGTAATTGCCGCACAAATTTAGCAACTAACGGACCCAAGACTCCCTCAAACTATAGAAACAGTTCCGCAGAAAACTCCAAGACGTTGATTAATGACACCTGGACACCTAATAACTATAAAAAGAACCAAGGGACACTCTGAAAGGTATGCGCACATAAGCTCTCACTCTCTCTCAATTCTCTAGAAGAACTACTCACTAACTTAAGCATCGGAATGTCCTCCTAGGTAAAATTTACCCAGGCACTCTAACCTCTTTTTCATTTCAACAACATTCAGCTCAGACCCTCAGCTTGGCACAACAGCTCGGCTTACCGCAGATTGAACCCGGTCTAAATCACCTCACCAGACACAAGGGAGTGAATAGATTTTGTATTGTATCTTTTGGTGGGCACATTTTGTGTTTTATCAGTTTTGTTTTCTGCCACACTAATAGCGGAAGATTTGTCCCAGGATACGCTCGGAGGACGAGTGTGCTACAGGAGAAGCGCCTGAAGTATCTGCTATTAGAAAATTTAAAGAATAATAAAGGATAAAATAGACATTTCAATATTTTTATCACTACCTAACGGAAATATTAATTATCAGAAAACTTAAAAGGCAATATGTAAATAGTAGGGGTTAGTTCATTTCCAATACCGTAGTTTTAAGAGAATTAACCTTTTGTTTTTTGTTTTTGGAACTTTTTCAAGATTGACGGTTGATCCATTCCCACTTCGTTTAGAAAATCAAGAACGAGACTTGGCTTTCTTTTGAATTTTAACGAGGAGACAACCTACTATACTTTCCAATATATAATAATAATATGTAGACATCGCCACTTGGTCTGATATGATATTACATTTCGTTGGGTCGTAAGAAATTCTTTCTGTCCTGTGGATTGATCAGCAGTGGGCTGAAAAATGTGCCTGATTGGGGTTGAATATGTTTTTTTTTTTTGCATTAATTGTCTAGTATACTAGTTGTAATACTGGGGCAATCGCAATATGCCAATATCATGGATTCTTGTAGTTATCTGAGGTGGAATTTAGATTTAGATAAATTTATTTTATATTTATAAATATATTTTTTGTTTTGCATTTAGTTTTATAAATATATGTTAACTATATATGAATTTACCATTTTTTTTTTAATCCAATGGATTTCTAAATATCCGAATGCTTTGAGTTCAAATTTACGTTTTACATATCTGTTAGGATATAATATCAAATTAATTCAGATACATACACCCTATTAACCCTAATTCTAAGCTACTATTAGCCACGCCACCATTGAATCAAATTCAGTAGACCGGTGGTACACCTTATTTGAAATGGCCATTTAGTTTGAACGTCAAAATGGCAACATCTTCCCTACTAATAGTTAAAAGCAAAGCAATGTTTGGGAGAATGACGGTTCAACCCAGGGCTCAAAGTGAAATCAGAAATCCGCATTGGAAAGGTGATGAAAATGATTTTTACTAGAGAAGTCAATGTAGGAATCCATAAGAGAAGAAACAAGGTATCCTGAAACCCACAGGATTTCAATATGCGATTGAAAGATAACCCAACAATAGAAAGAATCAAACAAAGATAAGCGCAGGGCTCTTCGTCTTGATTCTTGAGGCACGCGCGGCATCTACAAAGCGGTCCGGGGCCTCTTACCTTTGTGTCATGTCTGTCACTTTCAAACCATCAACACCAATCTTTCCTCATTTACAATTTAAAACCCAAAACTAGTTGGAAATAAAGAAAGGTGAAGTGTTTACTTTGATGAGATTAGAAATGTGGGTTCCACCAGCCTACTACTAAGGCTTTTAGTGTTTAAACAAATGGTTGTCTTTATTTGACTTTTTGCCATTAGATTTGTTGGATGGCCGATGACCTCCTCCTCTTCAGTCTTCCCCGACTGAATTTCGGTTTTCGTTTTTGGCTTAGACTAGTTGACGGAGAGGAAACTAGCACAATACGAATTTTATTATATATTCATGATCCATAGCTCTTGATTCACAATTACTCAAGACTGCAATTAATTGCCAGAGCAATAGCTAATAACTGATTGAAAGCTAAAATACAATTAAATGATGGAGAATTCTACGCGCTGACTACGTGAAAAGATCCCGCTTTGAAAAACCGAGCAGCATCTCTGACGAATTCCCCCACGGCAACGTACTCCCCCAGCGCCCTAATGTCGGCACCGCACCGCAGGAATTGCGGAAAGAAGAGCCAGAAGCTGGTGCCCATAACGAATGCAATCGTCAATGGGCCCGAAACAGACCGATGTAACCGCCACCGGCTGGCCAAGGCGCTTTTCGCCGGGATCTCCAACGCTAAGCAGAACCCATGGAGGATGAAGAACCACGTCATCTCCCATGTGGGCTCTGAACGCCCCAAATAAAAAATGATGAGTTCGTGCATCAGCCCCGACACCACGAACGTCGCCAGTATGGCCGGTAGTGAGGCCCACTTCCTTCCCGTTATTCGCTCGGCGAGGCTTCGAGTAGGCTCGTATACGGTGGAGCGCAGGATATTGGAGGCCATGATGTTCCATCTTCGTCCCCAGAAGTCCTGTAGTGAGGTGGAGAGGTAGGGGTCGTCGAACTGTGGTTCCAGCTCCAGGCCAAGCAGGGCACGAGCCAGGTATGCGACGACGGCGAGAATGATTTCCAGGAGGAAGTAAATGTGGAAGCAGTAAAGCGCCAGGATGACCTTGGGATGCAGATACGGTCTGTAGTCGTAGGCACGGATCAATAGAGCTACAAGTAAACCTTTAATGGCGTAGTTTAGCAGCGATTGGGTGCCGTTTTTGGTTATCTGGGGTGATGGATTTTGTTTTTTGATTCTGATAGGAAAACAGGCCAAGGAGATGAAACGGAAGAGAGAGAGGGATGGATCGGACGACAGAGGGCCCCGACCAAAAGAGAAGAGGAGAAGCTTGAAATTAGCCAGCCAAGCCACGAAGAAAGCCGTGGTGCCACCAAGATGGACGGAATGGAGGCTTAGTGGGAGAAGAAGAAAGAGGCAGCAGATGGGGAGGATGGTCAACAGCCTCAGCTTTCCCTTTGGGACCTTTGAGGCTATAAGATAACAGAAGCTTAAAGATGCTAAAACTGAGACCCATACCTTGATGAAATTATTGATCTCCCTGCCCATTCTCTCTCTCTCTCTGCTACAGGTTCTAATTTCCTCTGGGTTTCTCCCTATTACTGCGTTAGTTTTCTTTGCTTTTAAGATTGAACTGATGCGAGGAAAACGTGCTTGCAGAATAAGAAAACATGCAACTACCTCCCCCGCGTTTTCTGACAATCATAAAAACCTCGTGTTTTCATTTTAATAGAAACCTCCCCTGTACTTTTTAGAAACACATGCAACTAACTCCCTTCCTCTTCCTTGGTTGAAAAGCCGATTTAATGTGCTTATTTTTTTAAAATGCCTATTTTGCCCTTATGTCTATCTATTTAGATATAACTTTATTAAAATACCCTCCAAAACAGTGTTTATTAAAATACCCTCTCAAGTTTGTTTCACTGTGTTTTGCTTGCCATATGACCATGTCTATCGCATACCTAATGGTGCACGATCTTACTGCTCTCTGCTGGAGGATGATGTGGCTTCCAGTCAGATGACAAGCTAAGTGAATTTGCAAGATAAGATCAGAAACTCGGGGTGGCTAATCCGGCGAGGTCGCTCTGATGCTTAAGTTAGTAATCTGATGTGAGCTGGATAGCTTTGAGAGTTTAGAGAGCTAGAGAGCTAGAGAGTAGAAAAATCACACGTACCTTGCGCCATTGGGGTTGGTGCCTTTATATACTAGAGTAGTCGTGGGGCACACGAAAGAGCTCCGGGATATCCGAGGTGTGGAGATAGAGTTCGCTCCGCTTCCGAAGGAGCAACATACAGGTAAGGCTTATCTTGTTCCACTTCCGATTCCGACGCAGTCTGGATAAGTCCTTATCATGATCCATGAAAAGTCGGGATCTGTTAACTCATCGTGATCTCGAGGGATTCGGGATCTGTTGGAGAGACCTCCGGAGTTGGTTACGCGGGAGTCAGTTATGTGGCGATTCGAGTTCTTGGTTCCGAATTGGTACTTCGGTCTTTTAGTTTCGAATTGGCTTGAATACCGAGGTGCCTCGATGCCGAGGTGAGCCTTAGGCCGAGGCGGCCTTTGTGCCAAGGTGACTGAATACACGAGCTCAATTGTTGCCAACTGAACTTGTCAGGCTAAGTTGTCATCTCTTGGTCAGGTCGTGTCCACGTGTCCCCTCTTTACTAGGTCGAGCCAAATCACCCTTCGGCAATTGCTCCCCACTCCCCGAGCTAGGGGTCTCGACCCGGTGAGGGGATTTCAAGACGAGTCTAGGTGGATTTGGCACGAGGTCCAGGCGGCTTGTCGAGCGAATCGTTGGTCGGACCAGTTCATCCGCCCAACTCAACCAAGAATAACCCAGGTCGCGTCTAGTCTACGCACAGACGTCACGCTATCTATAAACTCTACGGACGTCAAAACACGCGCTAAACGGATTTCAACCTTGGGGGTCGCATAGCCGGTTTTCCTAGGCGCTGTTGGATCACTTCGATCTCAACCGTTGATTCTCGGACACAACGGCTATAAATAGGGGGCCCTAGACTCATTTGCTTCGCCACAAATCCGCTAGCCTTCGGTCTGAGGCCGCGCTTCAAGTCCTTTAGTTCGGTGTCTCTTCAGTTCGGTGTCTTTTCAAGATCGTCTTCCTCTCCTCTGTCTTTCCTTTGGTGAGTCTTCCCTAGCTCTCTTTTCTGATTCCGCGTCTTCCATTATGTCTAGTTTTAGTTTTGATAGTCTCTTAGATGGGAGCGGTGGATCCGCTGGAGCCGAGGTGGGTGCCTCGTCTCGGGCCGTAGATCGCCCTACTGAAGAAGTTACTTCGGGTCAGGATGCGGTTCGCGATCCTCCTGAGGTGGAATCACCCCGGGGGGAGCGAGAGGCCTCAAGTGATCTGGCTTCCACCTCTCATCGAGGTCGGCGGCCAGATAACTTTGGCCCGTCGACAATGACGGCGGACAGGCTCCTATCCCTAATAGCTCGGTATAGGCTTCCGAACGACTTAGTCTATAGTATTCCCCTAGGTAACTTTCCTTGGGAGCACGGTCACGATGAGATCGTGATCTTCGAGGAACATCTCGTAGCTGGTCTTCATCTTCCACTTCACCCCTTAATAGTCGAGGTCATAAAACTTTTCAACATTACCATTGACCAGTTGCACCCAAACTCCATTCATAATATAGTAGGAACCATCTCCCTTTTCCACGACTATAACCTTCCTCTCGACCTCGACATCTTCTCCTCCATTCTTTTTATAAAAAAGAACTTGTCCTGTGTTCTGCCCGAACACAAGCGAACTTACTACCTGTCCCCACGTCCAGGCTACAAACTCTTGCATGAGCTCGCGAACAAGGTCCCAGCCTGGAAAAGGCGTTACTTTGTGGTCCGCAACACTGAGGGGTGGCCTTTCCCAACCCATTGGAGGGTGACCTATTAGACAGTTTTATATGCCCTTAGCTTCAATCAGAATGATGTACTTTATGAGTTTATTGTAAATGAATAAAGATACATATTTGATTCATGTTCCC